TACAGAAATTGTTGGACTATGAAAGGTGTTGGGGGGGAGGGGTTTCAGGTGCTTTTATAATATTCGACAAGCGCTTTAGATGAAACATACTGACCCCTTACAGTGAAAGTTTGGATTTTTTAAGTGGGCATGTACTGTATGAGGGATTCAATAGTCAATGTATCGCCTACAGTAGATGGTCGTGAGCATGCTCCCAGTTTGGAGAAGCAGACAGAGGTACCACCACAGAAGCTAAGCTGCTGCTAAAATGTATTTTAGCCACCTAAAATAAAGCTATATCAGTTAAAGTGTATGCAATATTAAGAATATTTTCACTGTTTTACCATGCCATCAAACAGTGATTTCTGATAGTAAATTGAACTGAAACCGAAACTTATCTATACTCTCTTTAAAGCCACCAGACTTTATTGACAAAAAAAAACATAATTTTACCTCTCAGAACATGGGAGTTGGTGGGCCTCCACCGCCACGATTGGTTAGATTGTGTTAGTGTGTGACTTTGGTGTTTTAAATGGTTATTTCATAGTCACCAAAGTCACACGATAGCACAAACAAACTAGCCAATTGAACAGCGGTAGACCGGCAGCTCCTGTGTTCTGTGAGGTAAAATGATAGTGTTTGCCAATGGGATCTGGTGGCTTTGAAGGGTGCATCGATGGATATAACTACTTCAGTTCCCCGTCTAAAAGGACTGTCTGATGGAAAGATAAAGTGGTAAAATGTTTTTTTTTTAGTTGGCTAAAATTCGTTTTGCTGCTGCCCCCGTTCACAGGTGTACGTTGCTTAGCTCCTGTGGTGGTACTCCTGCCTGCTTCTCTTAACTGGGGGCCTGCTGACTGTGAGTTATTAAAAGCCGCTAAAAACTATTTAGTACTCAAAAATAAGCTTTCAGGCAATAGTAGATTAGAAATTTGTGTAGTAGAAATGTTTTTCCCTGTGTAATTCCCTTTGGGTGTCCTGATCTCCAGGCTCAGAGTGGCTGGTTTGATATACAAACAAAGTGGAAGAGGGAAAGCTGAGTGGAGCACATGTCATCTGTAACACATGCTCCAATTGTGCCAGCTTCCAGAGAATGAAATTATGATATAAAACTTAAAATATTAGTTTCTCTGTGGACCCTCCCCCCCAAAAAACACCTCAAAGACCCCTGGAGGTTCTATAAACGGCACATGGCCGACTTTGGTTTTATTTTTGACTCATGTTTACTGTTTATTCCCCCGACACACGGACAATACCATGTGGTGGAAAATCAAAAGGACATCGCCGCCTGAACATTCTACATTTAACTCATTACGTAATGCGTTCTCATTTCTTTTTTGCACTTATGCACGGGTGCTCACATGCACTGGCGGAGCGCCGCAGGCTGCATGCGTGTGCCACGTGCTGTGTGTGTTGTGATGACGGAGCGTCGTGGAAGTGGATGCGCTCTGCTGTCTGGAATAGTGCTGATCCTCTTAAATGATTACTAGCTGCAACCAGAGAGAGGCGACCTGCATGGGGAACATGCGGACAGATGTCGCACCCCCACCCTCAACAAAACACACACACACACTGCATCTATGTTTAGTTCAGGATACAGGGAAGCTCGTACTAGCTCCTTTTCCTTTAAGAGAGTCTGAGTCTATTATACCGCTCATTTGAACTCTGACAAAGGCAGTTCCTTTAATTTATTCGGCACCTTTTCCTGGCAGGAAGTGGATTGTGTGTTGAGCACTATAAAGAGAAAACAGGACTCTTAATGAGGACAGTTAGCTATATTAGTTGTGGCGATTTGTTTATATGGATACATCACTTGAAATCGAATTTGTTCAGTTGGAAATGTTCTTAAAAAATATGTCTTTGTGAATCACTAACACAAATTAACACTGTCATCATTTAATTCATTATTTTCTGTTTGTGGTCAGACACTACGTCAACTTTGAAATGATCTTGTGGAAATGCACACAGTACCTGAAATCTGCAGTTTTCAGAAATGAAACATCTGGAAACACCATCTGAAGTTAATGCTTAAAAATGGTTGAGTCCATTCAGTCTGGAAATAGCAGTTTTCCTGAGGGGATAAAACCTGCGACAAAGCTTTTATTTCACTCATAACGAGAAATACAGGTTAGTCAACCCAAACCTGACCAGGGTCTTTTGTGTACCAGGTTTCTGTGCCTCATTTACTCACTTAATCCTAATGTGGCTTTAGAAATAAAGGAATGGCTCAAATGTGCACCTGAAGACAAGCTAATGTTTGTAGGAAGTAAACTAAAGGGGGAATTGGGGTTCTTGGAGAGTTGTAAATTTCCAATCTGTTCTGTGAACGCAGCTTTCTCAGAGCAGCCAAAAATAACAACAGCTGCAAGAAATCTAAGAACATAATCAGAAACTGGTGCATCTTCTGCATACAAAATCTTGTTTTCTGACAGATGCAGGGAGGTGTTGGAGGAAACTGCTCATTGCAGATGGATTGAAGAAGAGTGCCGGCATTGTCAGACGTCTTTTCTCCGGGCAACCGCTGGGGAATGTGCGTGGTAGTGCTCAGTGTCACAGTGTCGCGCCCTGGCCTTTCCAGCATGCCACTCCCAAGTTCAGCGCCATTATAAAATGTGTTTTGTCTTCGCCTCCCCTCTTTGGCTCTGATTCTCTCGCCCTCCTCTGTGCTTGACATTTCAATGTGTGTGGGTGCCTTTGGTCCCTGTAGGGAGTCACGCTCTCAGGCTTTGCCGGGGCCCCAGATGCACACAACTGGAGTCCAGAGCCAAAGATTTGCCCTTTTGTCCTGTGTTGTTGAGTGCGACCCTTCTCGCACGCCTGCGTGCTGAAAAGAAGCAGAGCCATTCTGGATTGTTTCCCTCCTCTGAAATCCTTAAGGTCGTCGTTCCGTCACTGTTTCTAGTTTCTGCATTATAGCCTTGAGGACATTGCTTTAAAAGACTTCAGTGGTTCTTTGAAATCATCTCAGGCTCGGGCCTATGCGTCATAAGTCAAGCTTGATAAGTCAGTGATATTTCCATCCTCTTTCCTTTGCGCTTGCAGAATAACGTTTTAAACAAGGGTTATTCTCCTGAATTTCAGTTCCTAAAAACTTCCATTGAACGCAGAGCAAGTTGTGATTTTGATTCTTAATTTCAGTGGTTTGATCTACTGTTCATATTAAGAATGTCAATTTTGGTTAATTTTGCTTTTGATAGCCCCACACCCTTTAACCAGTAACTATCCAAATATTACAGATACAGATACAGAAAAACTTTATTTATCCCCGAAGGGCAATTTAGCTCGGGGATAAATAAAGTTTTTCTGTATCTGTAATATCTGGATAGTTACTGGTATTTATTAAGAAAATAAAAATACAAAAAGCCTTTCCTTTTTTAGACCGTTGCTCCACAGACTCAGTGAGCTTTAGCACCATGTTTCAAAGTGCTATCCATTTAGAGGTAGTGAAATTTAATGTGTTGTGGTGTAAATGTCTTGCCTTTATTTAATTTTTTGTTGGCTTTGCTGACAGACAGCCGGCTAGCCATGTTAACATACAGAAACAGAAACATTGCCCAGCCTCCAGTCTCTTAGCCTTGGCCACTCTGTACTGTGCACACCTGGTTTGCATGGGAGTCAGCAAGCGGAGCTGCACATTTGCAAATACTGCTGGTAGTGATCCTGGTGGCAGAATGGCGTGCTTCAGAAATATGTTGCCCACTCTGTCGTGCGCCCCCCCCCCCCACCCCCACCCCTCTGGAACCCGTTTAAACCCGTCAAAACGTTGCGTTTTCAGGGACCCAAAACGCAGCTGTCATGTAAATAATCGGCCAAAACGCAACTAAAGTTTCTGGTTTTCAGTTGAAATCGTATAAATGGGACCTAAGCTGCAAAATGCCCTATAGCATTGCTTAACATTGTTAGCACCACTAGCTGTGTTGACCCTGCTAACGGTGCTAACAGAGCTAGCAGTGATGATGTAGTTAACAGTGGTAAAGGTGGGGAGACACAATGGAATGGCCATAATAGAGTGCCCCTGGGATGATGTTCGTTTCCTTTCGGCTGATGTGGAAGTTAGCGTTGCCCTGGTTCATTCGTCCAAAAGCTTATGTGATTCTTTTCATTAGATTTTGGATTATTGCAGAAACTACACTACTATTCTCAGTGGTTAACCAATTAACCGTTAACTGTTGACATCTCTGGTTCAAAACTATGTACCATATACCATGAATAGAAGAGCTTGCTCAGTGGTCTTGAAGACTGTCAAATGTCATTGAAGACTTTAGGCTAGTTTCAGGGATGCACTTGCTCTCATGTTTCTAAGTGTTCAGTCTCATGCATGACTTTGTGCCTCAGGATGGTTGATGTAATATCTAATGCAGTATGTTCACAAAATGAGCCCCGTTACTGGTTCATCTCAGTCAAACAACACTGTAGTCATTAGAACAGAGCGGTCAGAACAGCTGTGGAGAAACCAACATCTGTCAGGAGTAGATAGTATGATGTCATGTGTTCTGTTCTTTGCTTTCTCTTTCTCTGAATTTGCTCTCTCCAAGGCAAACTTGTTGCAACACTTTGCACATGGATGCAGATGTTGTCTCTTGATACTGCCTTCAGAAACCAGAGGAACAAGCTTATTGTTTTCCTTCTTCCCACCCCAAACTTTGTGCGGAGTGCTGGTTTGGGAGGTTGGGGGAGTGCTTTGTTGGGACCAGAGGGAGGCGGGGGATGAAAAGGAAGTGGAGGTAACCCCCTACCTCACCTCCTCTATCCCATCTCATTCCATTTCATTGCATCCTGGTTGGGGAGTTCCTGGTTTGGTTGCTGGCTCGAAGATGAGAAGTGTGTTTTGTATGTGTGTGTGTGTGTGTGTGTGTGTGTGTATGGTGGGGAGGGTGGCAAGCTAACAAAACAATGGAGGCTTTGTGAGAGGGTCCCGCCGTGATAGGATTGTTGGGGGGAAAAGCAGGGGAGGGGGCAGTCAGGGCTTAGCGAAGCGTAGCCACTTCATTAGTCAGGGCTCTCCTTTTGCACCTCCTCCTCCTCCCATCCATCCTCCCTCCCTGTCATTCTCTCGCTGCCTTTCCTTCCCCACTCACTCGTGGAGCCACAGAGGCAGGAGCCGCTCTAAGCGCAGCGCAGGGTTTTTGACTCAGCACTGAGGAGGATGTGCTTTTGAGGTCGATCGCAGTTGTTTGGTGCAGCTTCCTCGCTCAGTACCATACCATTTTTGCTCCGAGGTAAGTTGTCTTGTGTTGTCCTCCTTCTTGTCCCATCCCGTCCTTGACCGCTGACTTGCATCTTCTCTCCCCTGAGCTGCAGTTTTGGTGTCAGATGACTGCACGCAGCACTCTTAGGCAGGCCTTTGAAGAACAACTGATGTGATTTTTAGTGGTTGTAAAGGCATTTCTAGATGTGGACGCATAAGTGTTTCTGCTTTCGTATCAATTTCATCACTGTGCATGATGACATCAGTGGAAAACACCACTTGTCTAGAAGTTTCATAAACCCATTTTGGGGTAGAATGTTAGGTTTATATGAGGTGATGCTCATGTGTCCGCGGAGGATGGGGGGATGGTGGTTGTAAGGAGACTATTGCCTCAGCTGTGTTGGCCAAATTATCAGTGTTATTAGGATCTAGGTGCTTGTGATTGCTTCTCCCCCCACCCACCACCTCTCTTTGTCAAACACACACCCTCGGGGACAGTAGAGCATCAGGGTAATCCTTCACATCCTGTGTGGGAGAGGGCAGAGAGGAGCACTCTGACTAACGTCATCACTTCCTCGTGAGAAAGTCTGATCCACTAAAATTCACTGCGCGTTCAGAAAAAACAACAACATCCCGGCTGGTTCGCAGCATCCTGAGTGCCTATTTGCAGCTTATATCCTGTCCAACTGACCTCTTTGATGTTCCTCTATAACTACTTTACCATACACGGGACATCATGGCTTCATGTTCGTCAACTTTCCCAGCTGATTCACCAGGACACTTTGCAAAATTTGAATTTAATGTCTTGTAAATTTGATTACACACTCATTACACAGTGAATTGGAAGAAGACTGTAATTTTCCCTGCTGATAATTGAGGCTTTTTGCAGAGGAATTGGTGCGACAGTGAGGCCACATGTGTACTGTAGATAGAAGAGCCACATGTCTGAAATTAGTGTTGACTTGATGGGATAATCAGGGTATGTCCTCCTGATTGAATGAAACTTCAAAGGCATTGTGTGGGACCAGTTAAGCTTACAGGTCATTCACAGGGTTTTTTAATGTCTTTCTCTGGTCCCAGGAGTTGGAAGGCTTCAGTGTAGAGCTTGACAATAAACCAGATATATCATTATATATCATTAATCTCTTACTGACCTAACGTAACTCTCATGGCAGGTGAGTTTTCAGTAGGTGAATTGAAGTTTGTATTCTTGAACTCAATACGAACATAGATGTGAACATGAGAAAGAACATATTATATACTGATGTATAAGAAAAGAATACTGTACTGTACTCGATCTCACTCCCATGTTAAGTACGGAGCCAGAACTGGCGTGATGAGCTTAGTTCAGCATGGGGAAAGGGCTAACTGGCTCTCTCAAAAGACCTTGTTTTGTGGTGGAGCCACTATTTCCTTACGAACAGACAGTTTATCCTTTCGCTCAGCATTTCTGCTGGTTGTCTGGTAACTCCAAGGTGATGACAAGACTATGAGTAGTCTCAGTGTCTGGCTGTTGTTAGCCAGGTGTGTAGTGCTGCAGTGCTCATAATCTGGTTGAAATTCATTTACATTTAGCCACTTTGTTAATATACAGGTAACGATAATATTAGACATACTAGCTAGAAAAAAAAAAATACTTTGCAGGACTGAGCTGTTCCTTTGCAGTTTTAGGTGAATTGCCAAACTAGTTGTAGGTCTGTGATATGCCAGTTTCCTTGGCATACCTGGCACTTTGCAAATTTTGAAACTATTCCAGACATTTGACTTTTCAACATCTTGCTAGCGTATCTGTAAGACTGTTGTGGGTAGTCTACTGTCGTAGTTACAAAACTAAGCCTAACACTAAGTCTAAATGTCCTCGTCTGAAAATAACTAATAATTAATGTTCACGCATAGTGAATTATGTTGGATTTACTACTTGGTCATTTATGGGCTATTTGAGATTTCGGGGGTAAGGGTATAAAACAGTCGTTCCCAACTGGTCCAGGGGTCTAGATTTCTCCCTAGTCATTAGTCAAGGTCCACAAATTTTAATAAATTGTGAGTAATACTTGAGTTTGGCGATGTCGTCTAGCAAGTTTGTTGTCTCTGTCAAGTAATTGTCCATTATTCACTTACGCTACAGTAGGAAATGGCACCATTAAATACAGGCTCTACACTGGAAATGTACTGTATTTCAAAATAAAGTGTGTTCTTTACAAACTTGACACATTCTCAACTCACTTGTGGTTCATTCAGAATGGACCAGTGGCCCACTTTTGGACCGACCCACCAGTTGGGAACCACTGGTACAGAAAAGCATAGCATTCAAATACTGATGTAGCCATTGATTGCCATTGCAGTGATATAAGCTTCAAAGCATTTGGGTCAGACCTAAAAGAGAGACAGTAAAAACAAATGGAATGGTCGAACTTGTCATATTGACATTTATGGTGTGTTTGATTCGCTGAGTAATGTGCAAGAAAACATACCATCTTAAAAGTTGCTGGTAGCTTCTGTTGGTAGCCTTTGAGCAGCACAGTGAATTTAATTATTTTTTTCTCTGCTGTTAACTGGTAAAGATGAAAAGGCAGCGAAACACCCTTACATTTTATTGATGCGGTTGACGAATGTATGTAAACCTGCCACTGTAGGAACCGGAACTCAACCATGCATGTGTCATAGTTGCGCTCAAACAAATAACACTACATCCATGTTCTTTACCAAGAAATAGTTACATTCTCCAAATCCCTTGTTTTCCCCTGCTTATAGCCTTTAGTAAAAGCTAAGCTAATCACTATCTGGCTTTACTTGAACGCAGACATGACACTGGTATCGATTTTCTTGTCTAACTCTTGGCAAGAAAATAACAAAGGATTTTTTTTAACATCAAACTATCTCTGTAGAACTGCCTGCCTAGCCCACAATCAGATAACATGAGAAGAAACCCAGAGGCAACAATCTGAATATTCTTATTCACACTGTCTGAACTACAGCTTGAAAGAAGTACGTCTGATATTTTGATATGATCTTGTTTTGACCCAAGTCTCTGTCTTATCTCTCCACAGAATGAAGAAGTGAATCATCTGTGATCGCAGTCATGGCTGTCCAGACTGGCATCCAGGTAGGTTCATCACCATCTAGACTGGATTAGATGTACTTTGATTGGCCAGAGGAGAAATTTAGTTTTTCAGCCCATTGTGAGCAGAAGAAACCTTCACACGGCTGTGATTTCTTCAAGTCTCAACACAACAGTAGATTAGATTCAAATCTCCACATTGCAGTGGGGCTGAACTTGACTTTGAGTCCTTGTTATGGAGCCTTCTTGTGGTCAATCAGTACCGTTCTTAGTGTCCAGGCAGTGAGTCACCAATCTGTGTGCCAAATTGGGGGAAAGGTTTTGAGACTGTGCTGGAGTTGTTCCACTTAAATAAAGAAGCACAGACATTTGTCTTCAACTCAACAACTGCGGGAGCCCACCTGTGTTACAGCATGCCGTCTTGTTTTTGTTATGCATGTCTGACGTTCCTCCCCTCGGACCCCGAGGAGTTTCTCCGCACATTTTTTACGGGGAGTGGGTGGAATGTGCAACACTTTTTCCCTTTCCCTCCCAGCAACGACATCTCAGCCATCCCAAAATCCAAAACAACAAACGTATCGTGTTACAGATTTGTCACATGGCAGCACCTCATTGAGGAGGGCTTTCCTCTGTCATCTGGTTTGGAAAGTCCTGGCTCTCCCCACCCGTCTTGGACTGTGGATATGCAAAATATGCATCCCAGTGCTGTGCACATAACATGTGGCAGGAAACGTCTCAGACTGATGCCGATGTGTTGACGAGGCTGTGAAGAGCTTCTACAGAGTTGTTGATGAGCTGCGGTTGGATGCTCGAGCTTCAGACTCTCCAGATTAACCCCAAAAGATAGTTTTAATTAGGTTTGTCTGTGCCAGGAGATATTTAGGTCGGTTCATATGGTGCATTATCTCTGTAGGTTGCCATATGTTTCCCCAAATCGCTGTTATTTAATCTTAAACATTGGTAAGAGTAGTAACCCCTAAAGGATACTTACTGTTTTTTTCACAAGTTTTTATACAAGTACTTCTTATTCCCATTCAATACTAAAGAAATAACAGTGACTGTCTGCAATTGTGCGCACAATTAATGTGTGTTTGAGAAACACATAAAACAAAAGAAGAAATCTAGAACAAAGTGGATGATATTGCCTGTTATCAAAGGCACCCTGTGAGGGTATTGATCCATATCAGTCTGTGGGGATGCTGCAGAGACAGTAACACTGCAGCTACTTCCCCAGCTCAGCTCAGAGCTTCAGTGCCCATGTAGCGCACAGTCACATTCGATAACCGGTCACACTCTGACTGCTCCGTTCACCCATGCTGAAAATGGATGCACTCATGGAAGTATAAGTAGCATATGCGCACATCTATTTAGCAACACTAAAACCCATTGTAATGTATAATGTCTGTTGGTTTTGATCTTTTGATCTAGGGGATGTCTGAGAAAACCTTTGAAATCTTTTGTGTTGGCTCCAAATTGTTGCTGTGTGGTTAAAACCGTGTGAAACAAAGCTAAGAAAAAATCCTTGTTTTTAGTTTGACAGTGTTTTTGAGTTTAGCTGATGGTGTTAAGATTTTGTCAACATGTCATTCTTTAGTTCAAGTTCACAGAGTATATACTAGAGCTGAAAGATATGGAGAAAATCAGCTATCACAATGTTTTTGACCAAATACCTTTTATTGATATTACAGCAATATTGTAATATTGGCACTAAGAGCCAATCCTACAATATTACGGCAATATCAATAGAGGTGTTTGGTCAAAACATTGTGATAGCTGTTTCAGTTAATTTTGCTTTTGTTGGCCCAACACCCATAGCCCATAACTAATCAGATCTTTTTTAAGAAAAAAAAAAAAAGACATGAAATTGGCACTCCTTTGACTCAGTGAGCTTTAGTGCCAAACTTTAAAGCAATTCCCATTTATAGGTGATGAAATTTTTATGTTTGTGATGTAAATGTCTTGCCTATTTATTTTACTTTCTGTTGGCTTTATTGAAATAGCCCACTAGTACCCAATACCCACCCTCCCATATCCACTGGCTAGCTTACGTTAGCTTTGGCTACTCTGCACTGCGCATCACCTGGGTCGGGTGGGAGCTAGCTAGCAGCGCTGCTTATTATTACTGCTAGTAACGTGTTGCTGCAGAAACATGGTAGCCACCCTTCAGTCTCCACCCAGGTCACCGCCATGAGGTAGTGGCCTCATTTTGACCTGCTAAACCCCATTAGCATTGTTAACAATGTTAGCACCACTTGCTGTGCTGACACTGCTAACAGAGCTAACAGTGATAACACATAAAAAGGGGGTTTGCGGCTCAAAATTGAGCTGCTTTACTCACCGGTGTGACCTGGAGGGACACTGGACGGTGGGTACATTATTTCCACAGTGAACGGTAATTGCTGAATGAGCTAGCTTCTACCTGACCTGGGTGGTACACAGTGCTGTAAACTGAAGTGTAGCAAAATTTATTTATAGACTGACATGCGTAACCTCTCAAAAATATTCTCTATGGTTAGCTGAATAATGGAACCTTTGACATCCCTATTTTACACATTGAGATTTATTGATATATTGCCCAGCCTCAGTTCATACAGATGTGCATCAATGAGCAGGACTGTGGGGGTGGTGTTGTCTCCTTGTAGCGTCTCTTATCAGGTAGCAGTAGAAATTCTCTCTCTCACTCACACACACACACACACACACACACACACACACACACACACACACACACTTACCAATTTGAATGCCCAAGGAGCCAAACCAAACAGCTCTGGGTTTAGTAATGACCCCGAAAGGTCAAAGGTAACCACCAGGCCATGGGAAGTCAGAAAACTGGAATAGCTGAAGTAATTGCAAAGATGGAAACAATACTTTATATTTAATAAAGTAGTGGGAAGGCATGCTGGTATCATTTAACTTCTGCTGTGCTTACAAGCTTCATAAACATCATTGACATATGGTGTGACGAACATGTTTTGTACTAATGCGAACATATGATACGGTCATGAGAACAGCTTATATAACGAGAAAGAAGAGAAAATCATAATACTACAAGAAAACCTGACGAATATGTTTATTCTCTAAATGTCAACACTGGAGTTTTGGAATATTACTACATCCTGCTTTGCCCTGTTACCTTCCTGCTATTGACTATTGTTTCAGGGAGTTTAGTCATCCTTGGTGTAAGTGGCTCAGGTTAAGAGTATCAGTTAAACTCCTAAAGCGTAAATAAACATACAGGCCTTTCAGTATGTTGCATTTCACACCAGGATTACCCACATTCCAGCACCTAATAAGACCAAAGTAGTGAAAGAAAAAAAGATTAATGTAGTGCAGGTTTAAGTTTACAAAACGATTGTGCTGTAAAGCCGAATGTTCTCTGTGAACCTTCATACAGTCAGGTGACAGAGTGAGAGACTGGATTATCTCACTGTTTAGTCATCTTTTACATAACCTCAATACGCTACACTACGCGGCCTTATTTTCTGATTAGCTGGATGTCGAGAAAAACACATATGTTGTTGTGAACCCGACATTCACTGCAGGCAGCTTGCCCTTCTGAACCGTGTTATGTAATGTGCATGTGCGTACAAGTGTCAGTGTGTACGTGTGGGTCAGCTCATCCCTTTTGAAGTGAGGTAACCTTTTCAGTTTCGAACATCAGGTGTTTTATGTGCAGGTTCCCTCAGCCCCTTGTGGGTTCCAATGTTACCCCAATGGGGACGAGTGTGGAATTTAAAAAAAAAAAACTTTCCCAAGGCAGTGATGTCCCCTTTTGACGTTTATTCTAAACATTAGTCCCAAATACTTAGCTAACCAAGTGCCCTGAGGACTTTTCTCCAGACAATCAAATTACACATTGAATTTATTAAATTAGGCAAATGAGTCAAAGTTCCCTCAAGTTGAATGTTAAAGGGGCTTGAAGTTCAGTTTACTTGTCATGATGAGTACAACTCACCCTGGGAAAACGGCCCTATAATGATGATGTCATCATAGTAATCTCGACTTGGGCCGGAGACCTAAATTTTTTAATGAAAAGACTGCTTTATAAGCTAGAGAAGTAGGGTTTGAAAGAACTGGGTATTTAGGACGTGGACGACTTGAGAATCCCCCAATTTTATAGAAGTGCAATAATAAATCATTGGAGTAGCCCCTTGAAGTTAAAATGTCTTCGCTATTTGCAGTTAATCTGTCTCTGTAAAATAAAACCCCCTTATTAGGCTGAAACGTTTAGCTTTAAAGGGTCACCTTGGTATTTTTCAACCTAGACCCAATTTTCCCATGTCTTCGTAACTAAGTGACTAGTGGGAACAACAATTTTTGAAATTTGTCCGATATTGACTCAGACTGCTGCAGCCAGCAGCTGCAAAACAGTAAACACTAAAGGTGCTTGTTTTTGCCACTGACAGGCTCAGATTATTATTCGAAGAGTATATAGTGTGTATATACACACACAGTCAAAGCATCACATGCAGTATGTGGGGCGGCTCTGATTATCAGCAGCAGTACATTACTGTATAACAGTCTCTCTGTTCGACTAGCCACAAGGTTTCCTGTTTGTTGGCCGAACCAACACTATGACTTTAAGTCCCCAACAAGACAGAGCCTTGTTTTAAGCACAATGGCCCATTCACCACAGTGGATGCAATGTCTCATTATTGCTCGATGACATGTGATGGATGCAAAGATTAAGGGCTGTATCTTAAACAGATGTCAACAAACTGGACGGGAGGAGGGGGTCATCCAGAAGTGAGTTATGTAATGTCTGGACAAGAAGTGCACATCTGCTGCTGGTTTCTAGATCGCCCCTTCTGTCTCGTGCAAACAATTAAAAAGTTGATATGAAACAACATAGCTATTTTGTAAATATAACGTACATGCATTTTTCGAGGAATAGAAACCCTTATCATTCAGTATCCCAGTATTATTTTCCGCCTCTCCTTCATATCAAAGCCTTAGTGAATTGTCAGTGTAAAAGACAGTGCAGGGCTGGAGTATGAGAGAGAAGGGAATGGGAGGGAAGGGTGTGACAATAGAGATGGATATGATGGGACATCAGTGATCAGCGGTTCGCTCCAGGCACTGAGCTGCGCATTGTGAACCATTGCTAGACACCCATTTAAGCAGTCAACTGCAAAAGCCTTTAAAAAGGAAAGCAGAGACTGTAGGATTTGCAACAAAAGAAAAAATAATAATGTCTGAGGTAGTGACTCTTACAGTGGACAATGAAAGATGTTAAAAAATATAATAGTGGGGTTAGAGATAAAGCTGAGGCTGTGGTTTTTACTCCGAGTAAACCACAGTGGTTAGCAGGCCCAGTGGCAGTGTTAGAGCGCGCTGCAGAGCATAGAAGTGAAGTGTGGTATGACGGCATCCCTGACACGTCCTCTCTGCATGGATGGGTCACTAAAATTCCTCTGATATTCTCACAGAGCAATGCTGAGTGGTAACTAGAGTATGATAATGCGTTGGCTCATAGAGACTGCTGCCTGTGGAGAAACTGCTAAGCTATACTCAGGGTTAAATAAAAACCATCCATACCAATATATTCTATAGGTTTGTCAACGTCTGTTGTACAGTGAAGTGAGGACATGCCCAGACTTCTCTCACAACGCCTCAGTGAAGAGAGTAAATTGGTTCTGCAAGTATTTCTTTAATATCTTAAAACCATGACTAAGTGAGGGAGTAGCACTCAGATCAGATTAGTGTGGCCGCCCACTTACTGAGACTAATCTGTTCTAAACATTCTGTCAGAGTTTCGGGTTTGTGTTTCTAATCCTTTGAGTCATACAGGGAGATGATGTAGACCGTATTAATTTGATCCTCCTCCGAGATCTTGGTGGTTACTTCCATTTTTTTCCCATAGAACACCTTAAAGTTGTCAAATACTACAACTACGACAGTTTTTTTGATACCTCGGTTCTAAAAAGATACGATCTCTGTTGATTATACATTTGATAGTATCGAAAGTACCGAAGCTATTTAAAGAAAAGACAGATCAACAATGAGATTTTCAACCTAAGGCTACATCTATGGCTGTTACGTTGTTCTCTTCAGCAACGAACCCACCACCTGACTGGAGGTGTGTGTTCAGTGACTTTTCTGTTAATGAAGAATAAAGAAAGAAAGTGTGCCTAGGACAAGGATTGCATCGAAGTTTAAAATTCTGGTATCATGAAAACCCCAGAACACCTTGATTTTTGTTGAATCCATAATTGGTTACCAATCATCCATGCTTCTCCCTTCTCGTCTCTAGGTATGGTTCGGTGAGAAGTTCGACGCCCCTTTGCTGAGCCCCAGGAGCCCTCGCAGCCCACTAGCACAGCGGCACGGCCCCGGCCTCGCAGATGTCTTCCAGTACGACCAGTGGCTGGCAGTGCGACATGAGGCCACCCTGGTGCCCATGCAGGAGGACCTGGCCATTTGGCTCACTGGCATGCTGGGTAAGAGCTGCATGTTGGATATGAACTACTGGTTTTGTCCAGGGGCGGAACCAGATGTAAACATTCAGGGCTCAGCCTAAACCAAAGAGGGTCCAGGGGGGATTTTTTTTTCCATGAATGCCAGCTATATGCACTATTTTTTAAGATAACAGAATGACTAAAAATCTCTACATAATTTAGGGACAACATGAAAGTTGTCAAGGTAAGAAGTGATCTATATTTTAATGTTTTTTCTATAAACTATAGCACCTTATTTTTATTCAAAATACACAAAAACAATCCCAATGTTAATTGGCTTGTTTTCATTGTGAATTACAAAATGGTCAGCAGGCCACTTGGCACCCAATTGTAGCCCAGATTTGGCTTGGGGCCATAGGTTTTAGGATCAGTGCTGCAGAGCCTACATCCTATTTTGTACCTGTTTGTTCTCCAACTGTCTTCATCATTCTGAACTGTAACACAACAAATGTTAAGGATGTCTAATTTTCACTCGTGCAATCTAAAAAGAGGCAACACTGTTCTTATGTACATGAAATACGTAGGGTTGGAATTTGGCCCCTCTGACTGCCTGGTATTTTTTCATTTTGACATATTTTGCTGAAGACAAATGTTGATTTTTCTCTTTCTGGTGTATTGTAGTTGCTGTAATGGCAACCTGTGCAAATGTGAATCAACACTGTGCACAGTTTCCCCCTGGAGGCTAGGAAAATACCAAAGCACAATTGACACAGGTCTCCCATGTAATTGGATTTAGATGCTGCCATTTCCAACAGTGCCTCAGCAAACCATAGAAACAGGAGTGGAACAAAATCCCTCATTTCATCCGTCTCTACTATTATACTGACATGTATTGTCCCTTGCCATACAATGGAGCAGTGAGGAAACTGAAGCTGACTGGAAACTGACTCTATTGTCAACTGGTGAAACTGTTTTTTTTTTTTAGAAGCTGAAGTTTTTCTCATGAGGAATGTGGGCAGGTACTAAACACTCAACAAGAGTTATTGGTAGCGTGACCGTGATGACCTGTATCCCACATTTTTTAACTGTCTGACCGATCTGGTCGTCGATCCCGAGGGGCCGGATGCTGCAGAAACAGGTGGCGTGCCGCGGGTAAAGTTTCACGCCCGGAGGCTTGGCTGTTGTAGTTGAAAAATAAACTTTTGTGGGGCAATCTTTTGTCACTTAGTGTTATGGCTATTTTGGATTTTGTTCCCAATGTGAATTCAGTTCAGATGGCCTTTGTTTAGTTTCCTAGGGCGGTGATTTACAATAAGGGGTCGTGGGAGAGCCATAAGTCCTTAAGGAGTCCTCTGTTGAAAGGCAACAGTCTTTTTGTAAGGTCTTACGACAAAGGACACTGAAGAAGAAGAAAAACTGCAAAGTGAAAAAGGATTTTTTTTGTTAAATCTGGGCTGTAATTGTATTAATTTATCTTTAGTTTTGTTAATTTCATCTATTATCTTGCAAATAAAAGGATGATTTTTGCATTTAATTCTGTATCTTTTCACTTTTCCAGGCGAAGAGGTGAGAGCAGAGTTCTTCATGGAGGAGCTGAATAACGGTGTGAAGCTCTGCCAGCTTATCGGTGTGCTGCAGACCAAGATCGCCCAGAGCTGCCCCTCCGCACTCTGCAAGGTGAGTCACACGGCAGCGATGAAAATAGCTAGGACCGTCGTCCAAAGGACAACTTTCATGCTCACACATGGGGGGGATGTTCGGGGAGGGCTCTGCAGGTCACACTATAAACAAATCTATGACTCAGTTCATTTGAAGATGAGTTAACGCGCATTAAATTCCTGCTGTTGTAAATCAAAATGTCATGATGATCTCCCTGCAAGCTCTGTCATTTGTTTTCCATCCTCCATGTGTGCAAACATCTCACATGAACATTAACCTGTCTATATTTTTTGTACATTTTAGTCCTCATTTACGTGTTAACTACATGTCCACACTGAGTTTAATGATGAGGATGATTTATAGATTATTTTTCCCAACAGCTCTTCCCTACAAGGAAGATTGCATGTAAACGGGACGCCTCTCCGGGTTCCTTCTTCGCTCGTGACAACACCGCCAACTTCCTGGCCTGGTGCCGCCACATCGGTGTGGAGGAGACTTATCTGTTCGAGTCAGAGGGCCTCGGTAAGAGCTGCAGCAAACATCACTTAAACTATGTAACTTTTTTCATCTTTTCCGGACTAAATGCATCCTTTCTATTGGTATTTTTTATTGCTTTAGATGCACAATGCCTCTCTCTTGTCATGAAAAATATGGCACAGATGTGGAATCCATTACATCCATTTCAAGTTGTGGTATAATACTCGTCCAATGACAAATGGCCATAGATAGAATTTCAAAAATCTATATTTACAGTCAGCTGGGATTGACTCCAGCCCCCTGTGACGCTGTAAAGGATAAGTGGTTACAGATAATGGATGGAAAAAAGGCCAAATTAGCCCGCAGTCTCTTTTTTCAAATTGACTTTCTATTCAAACTCTCATGTTGGCTTCAGCCTTTCCCTCAGTTCATGTAAAGCAGCTTTAATTTTGTTAAAGTCCAGCTAAATGTGACTGTTTTTTTGAAACAACAACTTTGTTTTCAGCTGATATGACCTGGCAACCCTTTCCTGGTCATGTAGGTATGAATCTCTGTTGTTGCAAGCACCCACAGTAACTTATTAAAGTTCTTCTCCTGGTGCTCTGGCAAAGATTTACATAGTTTGACATAATCCTACCGCTTAAATAACCAGATAAAAATTCCCAGTAAAGGGCGCAGTTAGTACTGCAAAGTTGAAGGAATCAAAGTTCAAGTTTTGTTTATCCAAGCAAGCAGAACAAAAAAATGTCACGTTAATCCTCTGGTAAATCTTTTATTTTAGGGGGGGATCAAAGTGCAACAAAATAGTCCAAATAACTTTGTTACACCTGTCTCACATTGGCCAAGCCATACTTTTGAATTTGAAAACTTTGGAAACTCTATCATGATGAGTTTTCCTGCAGGTGCTTGGCCACCGTTTACCTATTGGAAAATTCTTCCCCTATTTTTCCTCTTCAGCTTTCATTTCTTTAGTGAGCATTGGGTGAGTCCAAGACAGTTTTAAAATCAGGCCAACACCAGAGTGCGGTGCAGTCCTGTGCAAGACCAGACAAATCCTTTAAGGTTCTATATACGGCAGAGCATTGATACAGCAGCAAACCACTATTTGCAATGTAAAGATCATGGACTGTGCAATAAAGATGGACGACATAACAGCTCTCCAAAAGTGAAGCCAAAACATCTTGATCACCCTTTGGTGGCTGGCTGTAGGATAGGCCATAAACCCCGCCCCCTCCATGTTAGCAGATGAGATCTGTTGTTGTTTTGATAAGTTCTGGTTTTAACCAGTTATTTGATGCTATAAAAAAGGGGTCTGACGTCATGATTGACAGTTGTGTGTGCCAATTGGTGTGCTTGCAACCAATGGTGCTGCTCACAATTAATGGGATGGTTGTATGGTTGGGAACTCGATACTGCAGAGATGGTTATTGCAAAGCAGCAACCCTCCAGTTTCCCCGTTCACGCCGTTAGCACTGTTGTCGTTGTTAACACTGTTTATGCTGTCAGCACCATTCATATTGTTAACACTGTTATTCTGTTAGCACCATTTACACCATAAGCAGTATTCATGCTATTAGTGCTGCTGTTCATGCTGTTGGCACTGTTGACACTGTAAGCACTGTTCAGGCTACTAACACTGTTCACACTGTTAGCACCATTCATACTGCTGGCACCGTTCACGCTGTTACCAGTGTTCACGCTGGTAACACTGGTCACTCTGTTAGAACTGTTCACGTTCTCAGAACCGTTTATGCTGTTAGCACCGTTAACTGCTAGCCCCCTGCTCTGCCATCTTCATGTTGAGAGCCTTGTGCAGACAACCTCTAAATCATAGATACCCTCTGAATGTTGGAAACAGCTCCTATAAGGAGTTTGTTTAAATATTTGCTAGGATATAGATCTATCTGGATCTCTCTTCTTTTTAATAAGAACACAGGCTAACATGAATTTAATTACCACATGTTTTGGAGTTAATATTGAGCTTTATTTCGAGGATGTTAACTGTGTAAAACAGACAAGACTGTGGCTGTAAGCTCCTCATAACTTTGCAGCTCTGTTGAGCTCTGTTGTTTAAGCCTTACTTCTTAATGGTTTAATAGGATCTGTTGTGGAGTGCAATCGCCTTGAGTATCCACTATGGGGGATCACTTCATTACAAGTAATGGCTCTCCAAAAAAAATGGATTGGAGCGATTTAGAAACAAAGCCATACCTCTCTGTGTGCTGTGATTCTCTTACTCCTCACTATATATTTTTGTTTAATGAATGTCCTTGTTGTGCTGTTCACCCCCAATGCTCTGTTCTCTTCTGCATGAATCACCCAACAGCCCCTCAGGGAATAACTAACTTTATCTTATGTGCTCATAGTGTCACGTTTTAGAATGTTACATGTGAATTTTGTTGCACCTCATCCTCTGTCCTTGCATTCCAGTTGTGTTTATGTAAAGAAAGCAGAGATGGCAGCTGCTTGTTCTCACTATTTTACTGTTAATTGTTGTGTTTTCTGCCTCAGTGCTGCACAAGGAGCCTCGGCAAGTTTGTCTCTGTCTCTTGGAGATCGGCCGCATCGTGTCCAAGTAAGTCAGAATCAATAAGTGATTGGTTGAATATTTTAGGGCCAAAGGTGCACTTGTAACCTGTGCTATGTGCCTCCCAGGTACGGTGTGGAGCCTCCTGTGCTGGTGAAGCTGGAGAAGGAGATTGAGTTGGAGGAGACTCTGCTGATGACAGAGGAGCCGCCTCCAGCCGTGAAAACCTTCAGCGTTTGCTGCCAGCACGGTGGCCTCTACCAGGCAGGGGTGAGTTCTGACTGACAGCTGGAGAATATAAACAGGAAATAAACACTGCACTGTTTTTAAACATACAGATCATAAAACCCGAAGGTAGGAAGTGTTAGCTGATCCAGTTACTGCCCCCAAAACACTTCAAATATTGGTGAGCTGTCATCTAACGTCAGTGTAGATGACAGTGTTCACCACACAAACGAGCACAAACGAGCGTCGAAGGGCTACAGCTGATCACGTTAGCTTCACATAGGTGGTCCATGTGCGACCCAGTTGAGGCTTCATCGGTGCCCCACAGGGTATGACGCATCACAGCTGACCACGTGACGCTCTGCCGGCGCCCTGTGACTCACTCTCACAGCCACATGGATGCCAAACACAGGGATGAACTCTCTGTTTATGTAGCAGAGTAAATAAACACCTTCTGAATAATTTCTGATGGACACCATCAGCGTTGGGTGGGGTTATTTACTCCCCTGTCCAGATCAGCAGGTAAAACACTGTCAGGGTTGGGGTTTTATTCCCAGAGGAGACAACTGGGCTAAAAATAGATGCACTCATTGAAGTGGAAGGCAGTTTGGATAAAAGCATCCACTGACTAGAGTATTTATCACCAAATGCATTTTCCCTTTTTTTCAGATACAAATCAGCAGCTGGTAAACTGATGTTTGCATTTATTTTAGTCCAGTGTGTCTTCATCACTTTGTCACTTTCATCTCATATTTGGAGACAAGTTTTAACAAGACATGTCTCACTGCTCTCTTCACCGGGTGTAATTGCATTATTGCTCACTTATGCAGCAGCAAAAACTGGACACCCTTAATTGTATCACTGTTTTCCAGCCATTTGAGGTGACGCTGGATCATCTAAAATGAAATAACTACATCATATGTCTATAAAGAGACTCCACTATTTCTGCCAATAAGACCTCCAACATGGCCGCCTTATGATCCCCTATTGTCCTCTTTGTAGGAGCACGGCATGGACGATCCACCCTGCAACTGCGCCAACAGAGTGTCCATTGAGTACCTGTCTGAGGGACGCTACAGACTGGGAGACAAGACCCTCTTTATTCGGGTGAGTGCTCTGACCACACACACACACGCGCACACACACACAAATCTCTGCAGTGGGAGTAGACTCATGTGTTGGCTCACTTCAGTACTCCAGACAATCCAGTCAGTCACCAAGCTGTCTCATTCAGAAGTAGCTGCCTGGTCGTGTCCAGGCTTTTGAAGTTCACACATTTGGATGTTGATGTTGCAGTATGCACAAAATCAGGACATACTACTACTGCATAAAATACACACAACAACATGTCAGTCTGGTCTAACCACCATGTTCATAACTGTATCTTTTTACAGTTAGGGCTAACAATGTCAACACAAATAACAAGTTTGCCAGTTTTACATATCTCCTTAATCCAAATCTATTGCCAGTCTATCTAGAAGTGATTGTTGTTGTAGTGTGACATCACAGTAAGTCGGTCTATAGTAGTACAACTATAAATACTGTGTTTATATCCTATTAGGATACGTAGTAGGACACACTCTGGCAGCACAAGCTGTGTTGTGTGTGTGTGTGTGAGCTCTGGCAGAGATGAAGAGCGCAGGAGTCTTCATTCCATCACCGGAGGCTGTGATTGGACACATATAAGCTCGTTACAGCGCGTAGCGGCGGATTGCATTAGGCGATTACATCATAATTACTCTGCTGTACGTGGTGCCAAGCCTCAGGACAGAGAGGCTCATTTATAGATCCACAGCAGCTATTTTGGGAGGGAATATGTCACTGTTGATTTTTGATCTCCCACAGAGATCTGTGATATTCATGCCTCCACGCCAGAGGCAAAGTGTTTTTGGGTTATCCGTCTGTCCCATTGTAATGAATGCAATATCTCAAGAACGCCTTAAGGGAATTTCTTAGTTAGCACAAACGTCCGCTTGGACTCAACAATGAAGCGACTACATTTTGCTGGTCACTGTGACCTCACGAGACATGTTTTGGGCATAACTCAAGAATTAATACACTAATTATGACAAAATCGCACACAAATGTCTAACAGGATATATGATAAAGTGATGACATTTTATATCCAAATTTATTTCCCTCCAGATGCTCCATGGTAAACATGTGATGGTGCGTGTCGGCGGTGGCTGGGACACACTGCGCGGCTTCCTAATGAAATACGACCCTCTGCGAGTGCTGCAGTTCACCACTCTGGAGCAGAAGATCCTGGCCTTCCAGAAAGGCCCCCCCAGCCTGGGAGGTCACCACGGCAATGCAGCCCCACCCCCTCCTCCTGACATGGACCCCCTCGCTGCTGTCAACAACCTCATCTCTTCCTCATCCTCCTCTTCCTCCTCCACCTCATCGTCGTCTTCTTCCTCAGGCTCGGCTTCTAAGCCAACGTCTGCAAATGCTGCAGGTCAGACGTGTCGGTCCTACGCCGCCTCCCCGGCCTGCACGCCCACTTTGCCCAGAAAGGGTGCTGCCACAGCACCCAAGAAGAACCTGCAGGCGCCTTCTTCCCCCAGGAAGCCCACCCAGCTGCCCCTGCCCATCACCACCAAAGGTTCCTCCTCTCTGCCTTCTACACCTGTGGGAAGCTCCACCAAACAGTCTCCCAGCCCGGGGTGTCAGGGTGCGCAGCTCCATCGCAGAGCGCTGACTCCATCTTCGACTCCATCCCTAGCTCCATCACCTGCCCCAGCTGAGCCAAGCACCTCCTCCAAAAAGAAGCTCAGACCGCCACAACGCGGCCCCCTCTCTCAGCCAAGGAGCCCAGTTTGCCCTGAGCCGTCTTCCAAATGCCCCAAACCCTCCAGCCCCTGCACCACCCCCATCGCTGCCTCTGTGCCTCGCCCCGTCACTGCACCAGTACGGGCACCCACCCCTAAAGATGCCCGGCCCCCAACGGGCGCCAGCCAGCGCTCTCGCCTTGCACAGCGCCGCCCCGGCTCCCCAGCCTCGCGCCTCCGTCTAGAGGCAGCCAGGCGGGTGCGGACGGCCGCAAGAGCTGCAGCGACGCCAACTCCCCAAACCCGGACCCCCACACCCAGCTCACGGACAGCCTCCCCGGTGCTGCCAAAACCTACTAGCTCTCTGCCGAAGAGCAAAGAGGTCACAGCCAAAGCCAAGGGGCCGGCCCCGAGCAAGGCGCCGGCTGCTGCCCCTCCACGCGGCACTGCTGCTGTCCCCGGGCGGGTCCCAGGGGGCAACGCAGGCCCTTCTCCCGCCAATAAAGCCAATCAGAAAACACCAGCCACAGCTCAGAGGGTGGGGCGAAAGCAAGCAGCAGCCGCCACCACCAACCCCATCAACGGGAAGTCAACTCTAAAACCTGAAGCTACTCCAGGACCAGTCCTGGCCCCTCAGAAAACCAGCACCAACGTCAAAGCCATCAAGACCGAGCCGGGCGTCGCCAAGAAGCTCCCACAGTGCAAAGGCAAAAGTGAGGAGCCTTATTTTGAAATGAACAGTCGGAGGAGGCAGAAGACGTAACGGGGCGGTCTCTGGAGACGTCGCCAAAGCCAGCAGGCTGGTCACACAGCTTCTTACCACAAAGCAGCACTTGTTGGAACTCAGACTCTTTTTTTTAATCACTAACCCTCATTAAAACACTTCTCATATTTGACCATTATTTTTGTCTTCAAATTAATTTTTGTTGGTTTTTGTATGTTATTTAATAGTCTTTTATTTTTTTTAATCCAAAAGGGTCAAAGATGTTTCTGTACGTGTCGTCTTTGTGGTGATTTAATGGTTGATTTTTTTTTTTTTGTTTTGTTTTGTTTTTTTTGAGAGGCCAGCTAACCTGGTTAACACTTCAACTTGCACAATGTTTACATTTTTATTTTGGATACATGTATAGCTGTTACTAATGACTTTTACAGAACAAAGGATGGAGTTTTATAGTTCAAACACTAACCTCAAAGCTCTTATAGCTCAACATAACATGACAGGATACAGCCATGGTTTAGTAAAACACACTTAGGTGAACACCTGCAGGACACAGATCAGTTTTTAATTGTAGCAAAGCAGCTCCTGAGTCCTGTTTGCTCCAACAGGTTACCAAAGTTGTGGAATTTCTGGAGTTCAGTGATGAAACTGGAACACAAATCATGGTTTCTGGTGAATTTCTCTCCCTGGTGAGAACATACTTTCCACTGGTGGACAGCCAGACGTAATACTTGTCTGATTTTTGTATAAATGATATCTAGGTGGGAGGTTTGTCTCGATGGCACCAGACAAGGCGTCATCAGGAACAAGCCTTCCTGTCGTGTGCCTTCATCAGAAGTCTCATTTCTGAGCGGCATTAGAATGTATTAGATGATCGGTGGGTGGTGGTGGTGGTGGT